CTCTGCTGGTGTTCTTTTTGGGGCTTAATCGCTTTCGCTGCTTTCTCATCGACGATCCTCCGTGAGCGCCTTATGGAGAAGTAGGTTCGAGAAAGCTTTAAATCTGTGAATCGTTCTCAGTTTATGCATTCAGAAAGGTTGTCCTTTGTGTTCTACTGGGACTTCTTGTGTTCTCTTCAGTAATTGCCTGTGCTGGTATTGGAAATGAGTGCAATGCGAAGGGTTTCCCATCAAAATACCATCTATGCTGACAAGTACATTTTGGTCAAGGGAAGTTCACGCAGCTTAAAAAAATTAGCTCTTTAAATTTACCAATACGCTTTTCACTCACTATGATTGGATGTTAGTAGCAGCATCATTATAGGTGACAAGCCACATATTCTACACACTCCCAATTATCTCTTCCGTTTTCTACCTCTTCGCATACAAGTCGCTACGGTCCAAAAGAGAGGATGCTGTCAGTGATGTCACGAAATCGCTACTGAACCGAGCTGAAAGATGCAATTTGAAACAAGGAGTGTCGATTCTCATAACCTACCTTGTATGTTCCTTTTTGTATGCTGAAGCTTATTATGCTGGTCGAATCATACTAGTAATGAGAGATTTTCTTAGCAAAGCCGAGGTAACAGCTTCATGCAGTTGTATGCTGAGCTAAGGGAATCAAGCGAACATCAAGCAATTTGAAATCAGTAATCACAATGATGCTTCCATAGCTCTGAAAGGCGATCCCGGCGTTTGCGCGATTATGGGCAGAGGTGTTCATTTGTAAACCTGTAGTTGCTCCGACTCGACACTGGAAAAGAGAGTAGAAGAAATCCATCACAAACACTTTAAATTAAAATCCTCGTTAGACGCCTCAAAGTATGCGTGTGTCGTATCTGCCGGCAAGTAGGACCTCGATGCATCCCTTAGCTCATACATGGTTTCTTTGCATCGTTCAGTTCTGGATGGCATCCAACTTTTTGTGGAAAAAAAACTAGGTAGGAAGCTCGTTAGAATATGTGCAGCCTGTGAAACCATGCGAAACCAGGCCACGGTAGCTTTACACCGTTTCATAATTACATGGTTGGTGATCTTGTTTCGCGTCAAGACTCATCCTATGAAAAGGGTTGTTTCTTATTGCGTTCGTCCCTTTTCCAAAAGTTTTCAAGCTAGGCACAGTGCTTTACATTCTACGTAATGGGAAGTGCTTGATGACGAAGTAGACCACGGGGCCCACGCCATTTAAGCTCCCTGCTGCGCGCGGGTGAACATGCAACACGCTTCAGTGGCAATGAATGCATGATGCGATAGGACGCTTCAGCAGTTAAGAAGTTATGAAGCTGACATGCACGACAGCTTTGGTGGGTAATTGGCTTTTGGATTGCTTGGGATCCGCGTGAGTCGTAGAGGTATTTTTTGTTAACCTGAAGGAAATAATGAAAGAAAAAAATAGGTTCCGACAATAGGCACTAGCTGTAGGACCTTATTTATCATCTGATGCTGCTGTTCGGTGACGACCACCGTGTGGTGCGAGCAATAGTCTTTTTTCAGCCAAAATGGTAACTAGTAAGTGAATAAACAGACTTCTAGCTCTAATGCTTATAAAATCTCTCATTGTTCATACATATACTTTATAACATCGCAACCAGTCGGGGCGGTGAGAGCAGCACGGCATGAACCCGCCTTGACTGCTATGCTCGACCGATGTGATCAAGTGAATAGGAAGAAAACCGCCAGGGGTGGGAAGGCTGCAGGAGGATACCGACTGATTGTGACACGACCG